AATTGTGTGTGGAGAGACCGCCACTTCGTCGCTGTCTGGTGATATGAGACTGATATCCTGTAAATTAACTGTTAATATGAAAGCAGTGAATTCTTGACTAAAAATAATGAGAAATGCATGAAAGATGAATTAAAGATCACATCCATAAAGGCCCCGTACTGATGAACTCGCTCAGACTGCGCCAAATAGTCGACTTCAATCTAACACTGTAGAAACACATGAATGCACAGTTCAGTAAAAGCTGGTTTCGGGCTCGGGTAATGCAACTGCTTAGAGGGCAAGCCGAAACTCGCTTCAAGTTTTCGTGCTCCCAAACGATTTTTGTACAGCCTGATCGTTTTCTTTTCAGAAGACGACACCTTCAGAACAAAGTCAATACACACGCTTCAAAAGTGATATAGTTTGTTACTACTGAGACGTTCACCCTTTTTGAACCCCTAAGTAGCTATATGTACTCTAACTCAAGCTGAACAGGCTAAATAATCTCAGTAACAAAAATTTTACTTAGCTTAACGATTGAGATGAACTGTAACGAACCTTTTCGCCCTTCTTTGATTTTCTCCTAGACAATCTGTTGATGAGGGTTCCAAATCGATGTGGAGTTTGAGAAACATCGCAACTTAAACAAAGTGTAGTGATTAAGTGCAAAATGAATCCCTGAAAGGAAATTGCACTTTTCCCACGTGCAAGAAACATCGTCGAGTACAAGTGTTAAGTTAAAAAAAACAACAATACACAAGAAAAAATTGTGCTCAATTTCAACTATTTTTGCCAACTAAAGATCGATTGCACAACTCTGGAAACAAACCTGTCCTCGTGTCGGTCACCGCTCACAGAATCAACGTGAGCGCCTCGACTGTTAGGCCTTTTTGGCGTCTCAGAAGTCGATAGACGTGTGACAGCCGGGCTCTTGCTCCGTACACGCCGACCCAGTCTCGCGAAAAAATTACCTAAAATGAGAATTGAAGCAAAAAGTTGTAACACTACCGGTGCTCACTAACCGACAGGCGATGCCTTGATCTTCCCATCCTCCACAGACATGGCGAATATGGGAAAGCCTGGAGACGGCTAACAAAGACGCTAAACAAAGCACTGATAACGACTTACACAAGTATTACAATTCTTTCTAAATACTTAGATAACAACGGAACGTCACCGTAGAAAAAGAATATAACAACACTCACTGGAACCAGTCTTCATACAAGAAATTTTGTAAGCGCAACACGTGTTCAAAAACAATAAAAAATATTAGGCTAACACTTGCATGTACAAAAGCAACAGAACATCGATATTAGGGAAGCACTGTTGAAGATGAAAATAATCTAGAGGAGTCGACGAAAAAGTCTTAAAAAGCAGAATCAAGCGTTCGTTCATAACTTAGAGGAGTTGTACTGCTCCCAGTGCTAGCGTTCTATTGATTTGACTGAAGAGCGAAAAGAAGAAGTAAAGAAAAAATTGCAAAATGAACTTCCCAAGCAGCCAACGCTATGTGGTCAGTGTTTGCTCGCTCGAAGGACGTATGATGTGAGCGGTCGCTTCCGTGTGAGGGTCGCATCATATGCCCTACATTTAGAACGCTACGCTTGACCCTGCATCAAATTCCTGTAGATGAAACAACATAATAGTCAACGATTTCGTATTCGAACGCAATTCACATCGCACGTATAACAAGCCAATAGAATCTCTTTCTAGAATGCAACAAACAAAACGGAGAACGTTTTTGTAAACCAGTATGTTTCACATAGGATAAAAGATATCCGTAAAACTCAACTTGATCCAGGGGCTAAGCAGGTGAACAAAGAAAGACAATAACATGTATAAAAATGAAAAGTAAACAAATCTACGACCCACATGTTGATGAGATAGTGATTATTAACACAACGCGGTAATCAACAGCTTAGAATAAAAATACCGCGTAGTTTCGCAGGGATAACAGTGAACAAAATATGGAAGCTCCCTAATCAGACACATCTGAATCGTCCGATGCTGCGTTTTGATTATTTTGTGGAGAAGCAGTGCTTCTAGATACCTCGCCACTTCCGCTATCAGCCGAAGCCTGTCGTGCCTTGAACAAACCGGTTGAGAAGGAGAAACACTCTAACCAACAGCCATTATAGCTATATAGGTCGATCAGCATAGGAAATAAAAATGCAAACCTTCCATTCTGCCGTTAGGCGTGCTTCTTCTGCGAGTGCTTCCTGCTCTATCTCACCACCCAGTATAGCAGGATCCTTGATGTGTTTGGCAAGCGGTTTTGACATACTGTAATTGAGAACTTAAAATTATATTTGCACAGCGCATCCAAGAAATTAAGCAAAACTCACGCGAAGGCCTTGAAGCGCTTACAAGGCCCAAATACGCCTCTCAGCTGATCGTTTACAAGACAGAAGCGCTTGTCTTTAGGATCAAGAAGATTATTCGCCCGGATGTATTCCCACATTTTCGATATGACCTGAAACAAGCAAGTTCACAAGAAATCAATGAACTTAACAATCTTATTCAAAAAAACCTACATCGCATCGTTTCATAAAGCGAGCACCGACAATGCTTTGTAGCTCCTCACTCAGCAGACACAGCTTTGTCATTCGTCCAAATTTTCCAGAATTATCTGCCTTGGGAGCGTTTTTATCCTTTTTCTTCTGAAGAATTAATCTGGAGTTATGATATGACAAATTATCCACCACCTGACTGCAACAACGACTGCTTGCAAAATTCATAATGGTTCACTGTAAGGTTGCGGACATAGTACGCGGTCATGCGACTTTAAGGTTTTTCGTGGATTAGATTACGATCCTGTAATGTTGCGATCGCACGATCTATACGCATCTACCCCACATTTGATCTGCAAAATGGTCGTTAAGTGTGACTGCAGTCAAAAATGGCGGTAAAACAAATTCACTTGAGTTAAGATAAACGGAAATGACGTTTCACTAAAATAAGGTTATAGGCTTCGAGGATCCGCACACAATGTCAAGATTTCTACTAGAGACGGATGGAAGGTTATAAGATCTTTCAGGATTCGCTCAGTACCATAGGTTTCAAAGAAGAGAAGAATAGGTACCGGGCTTTTCTATCGTTATGACAGAGGATGCGAATAGCGTCGACTACGCATGCTCGATGCCGTCATGCATCCCAAACTCAAGAAACGTATCCTAGGAAGCGAAGTTTATGGGGTCGCATCAGGGCTGCAATTTTACCACCGCCGCGAATAGTTTATGACTAAGAAGTTAAAAAATGAACCCATAATTGACTTACCCTATCGGAGCGGTCAGCGGTCTTTTTCAAGATTTGTGCCGCTTTGTCAGCTGCTGCTCTTCGTCGATGTTTCACTGCAGTCATCAAATCTACGTCGCCAGCGCCAGCTTCTTCATTCGTCTTGAACACAAAAAAGATAGCTATGGTTCATTCCATGCAAACTATTTGGATGAATCCAGAATCTTCCATGGGAAAATGGAAGACACTGTGCCAATTCTACTCAGCATTGGAGCGCATGAGAACTTTCAAAACGGTAACCCCGTGAAAAAAGTAGAACACACGTGTGTAGAAATCCCACAAAGTGTTCTTAGCAAATCAAGTCAGAAAAAACTATGAATTGGCTTCATTGACCATTCCTGCAACTTGTTTGATGGAGAATAAACATTTGAAAAAGGTTTCTAACGGAATAAATAATGCCTAAAATATCACTGTTCCACAACCACTTTACATGCTTCAATTACATGTGGAGATTGGTGAAACTCGGACGACATCAGTTTCACAATAATGAAAATCGTAAACACTGGACAAATTGAAAACGATCCAAGCTGGCACTTCGATTTTTCCAAACCTTACACACAGAAACCCGGTGAAAAACTGGGAATGAAACAGCTGCTGACACGGGCTTTATTTTTTCAACAGCCTCTTATTAGCGCTTTCGGGTGAAAACACTTTCAAAAATTAATAATTCTTTCAAATCCTATATATGCTCCACATCCAAAAAGCTAATACTTTGAAAAACATACACTGAACACAATCCACTATATACCGAAAAACGCGTGAATGAGAAGCACCAGTCACTTTTATGTTTTCACTTTCACCCCAGTCACGCGATATCAGAACGATTACTCGTCAATATAATGGCATTCGACAGCTAAGGCTCCCATTAAACCGGCTACCGCCACTTTATGGATATATTCACCAGAGAGACATAACACTCCACTGAATAAACGGTTCGCGATAATAAACTTATATTGCAATAAATAATTTGGGGCTGCGGTGTAATAGTTGCAAAATGCTAAAAAAAAACGCTTTTGGGGAATAATGCAAGGACAGGTTTTGTTCTGTTTTCTGACGATGGAGCACTTCCTCATTGATTTGGAATCTATTTGAAGCGTGCGCTACGCTCTGATTCCAAGCAGGAAAAAGCCGCAAAGAGTAACAAATTTGTCATTCAAAAACATCACCTTTCTTTTGAGGTTTCGTTTCTTCTTCGCCGAAGCTCTTCCAACGTCAACCACACCTTCATCGGAAGTATTACTGTCGGTGTCCGAAGCAGGATGAGACTTTACCGGGCTTGAAATAAAATCATCAAAAAAGTTAGAGCATTAAAATGAAGGCAATAAAGCACCTTGGTTTCTCTTCAATAGTCTGCGGCTGCAATGATACTTTTTCTTCTCTCTTTTCTCTCCTTTCGATTACCTGCTTCGTTAAAGAATCCACCTCTTTACGGTAATTATCAAAACTTTGATTGAATGTCGACTGAAAAAAAAATATTTCAAACAACACGAGAAATACGCACTACATCAAGGAAAAGTTCTCACACTCAAATGGGCTCGAATTTTAGAGCTTGTCAGTTTGTCGAGGCCTTCCTTGTTGATCATTTTTTCGATGGCATCCATAGCCTCATTTTTGTCAACTGGGAATGTGTCCTCATCAGAAGATGACATTCTGTAAGTGGGAGATGGGAGTTAATCGACTTCATTTGGATTTCAGACAGTGGCAACATCTACACAATTTCACAACGACAGAGTATATGCATTCGGTTTAAGCGCTCTTGTTTATTCCCACACCTCAAGTAGGACTGCAATTATAGTTGGCGACATCGGGGAATTACTAGATTCGCGACGAGTTTTAGATAAGCATCGTACAAGAGTCACAAATTTCTGCGGCGATGGTTAGTCAAAAAAAACTGGCAGCAAAAAGTTCTATTGGGACCATCTAGTGGACTCTGCAATACATGTGGAGCAAGCCAGAGCAAACTGCTCATTCAAGCCTTAAACATGAATTTCCAAAAGCTGCGAAAATATGTCCCAATCAGCCAGGCAACCTTCATAGTTCGCAGTCGAGCATACGATTAGACTCGGGTCGACTCGTGCTTTCCAGTCTGGTTGCAGTTCAGAGTGGATAAGTACGTGCAGATCATGCGATTGCACGACCGTTACGTATCTATTACGCCCCCGAACTGCACAAGAACTGTGAAGTATAGCCCAACCCTTAGGCCATTAGGCTATTTGCTTAAGGAAAAGGATACGAACCGATTAGGCTATTAGGCGCATACGCTAGCCAAGTATCGATCACATATATCGCGCGATCGCATCGGTCGACGGTTATCGTCTATTATCAACTGAAAAGATAAACCTACCCGATCGATTGTATCCTTCCTATATGACCTACTAACGCCAGCCATTTGGCGTGTGGTTCGCGGAGGACAGATGCCGCCAGCGGCATTTTTTGCCTGCGGGAACCCCCAGATCCACCACTGATCATTAGTGGACCTGGGGTCCTCGCAGTAAAAAAAGGTTTTACACTGCGGAAAGCGGAAAAGCCGCTTTCTGTTCCAGTGAACTATATCCCGCTTAACTCGTCAAATCGATTCGTATGTTCCTCCTTTTGAATACTCGTCCAATCGCTCGATAGCCTAACACATGTGCGATCGCGAACCATGAACTCTGCCTCCGACACTTTATGTAAGCCGAAATTCATAGCGTCCACTTATCCTCTCAATGAGCGACGTTTCAGTGAGTCCCAAGAAAGCAAGTCATGAATTGATTGCAACAAACGACTGAGAATATGGTTATGAAGAAAAAATAATTTCAACCATCCTATAACCAGGATATGAAATCATCAGACTTAAGTTGAATACTTCAAATACAAAGCTGCCTTACAGAAGGGAGTCAGAAATGAGGGCTCTATTCAACTATAACAACCCAAAAATCTCGAAATTTTATTTTTCGTGGGAACGCCAGTCACCTTGTCGCAATACTTCTTTCACCAAATTCGGTGCAAACTTATAGGGTGTCCTGATTACGAGTATGACATTCGTTTTTGGCAATAGCGCTGCTCAACGCACGTTTCCCGTTATCTTGGGCTCTCTCACCTATACATAGCGCCTGGACTAAGCTTAGGGGGTAGGGGGACTCCGCGTGGGTAAACCAGGCACGTGTGGCAAAAGTTGAAGCGTGTGAGATCACAGGGTGAGTGGCTTACTCACCTCGGAGCCCTCCTCTCCCCAAAGGCTTAGTCCTGATCGCGATCTAATCAGTGAGAGGGCGCAGACGAGCGGAAAACAGGCAAATGGCGCCAGCGCAAAAATGAATGTTATATTCGTAATCAGGACCCCAAATAACCCCTATATACAAGTTTACAGCGAATTTGGTGAAAACAGTCGTGACAAGGTGGCGCCAACTGGCGCCAAATGGCGCCAGCGCAAAAATGAATGTCATTTTCGTAATCAGGGCATCGAATTACCCCTATAGGCAAAGTTTCGACGAAAAATAAAATTTTGATTTTTGGGTTGTAATAGTTGAATAAGGCCGTCATTTGAGTGTCCAAAAATTTCATCTTCTTGGTTCACTCGAAAACATATTTAGAAGCTCCATTTTGAATAACCATCTTCTCTGCATCAAAAAATAACCGCGCTGTGCTGTTCCACAAAAGTGGAAAAAGAATGAAAGACAAAAGAAGATGATACCCTTCGCAAGTCTTTACAATGTGGTAGAACGACATGAATGTTTTGATAAGTTAACAATTGTAAGATGACGCTCCAAGCT